ATATGAATTGAGTAAAAAGGTTACTCCTCTCAAGAACTCTTGAATTAATTGAACTCTAGGACTTAAATTTAAGAGTTAAATAAAATCTTTTAAAGAGTTATTATAGAAAAACTCTCTCACATTAAATCTTGACTTATTAAACCTCTATTTGTTGAAATTATTTAAAATTACAAGCTTTTTTTAGTATAAATAGTGAACATTTATCTAAAATCGAATCATATTAGATTCCATAAAAGAAAAAACTTTCCTAATACTTATTTTTCCATTCACAAGATTCGAATTTGAGAATGTTATTTAAAGAGAACTGAATTCCTTTCATTTAAATTAACAGGTTGTTAATGAGAATTTTTCATAGTTGTAGAGATAGTTAGTATTTGATATATCTTAAAGTAACTTATATATCTAAATATCACCTTTAAAATTGTTAGCAAAATGGGTTAATGAGGCTTTGAGGCAAAAGTGATAATATTTTCAGCCTTAAAAACTTCTTAACCCTATTGTTGCTAACACATTTGTTGATAGACTACACAATAAAAAAAGTCTTTTCTTTGTTTTGCCTAGCTCTCTGAGGCTAGGTACATTTTGTTTTGTTCTTCTAACATTTTATTGAGTTTATTTGACATATATATTGAGTTAAAGGTCTAAACTATGACATTTATGAGACTCATGTTGATCATATAACTTTTTTTTTTTTGTTTATATATATTTTCAGCAAGATAAACCATCAATCATACTAATAAGAAGAATCCATTACCTCACTACATATTCTGATGTTCAAACTACATATCCCAAAACAAAAATGAGCAGCCAATATTTACTGATAGCAAGCAGGGAAGATGCCAAGGTTTTGACAATTGCATCAGAATCCAACTGTAGTAAACAACACCATTTGCATGTGCTTGGTTCTTCTTCTAAGTAATTTTTTCTCATGACAAGGGACACTCCTCTCCGTCATCCACTTGGAGTTTAAAAGGTATCTTATATATACACACATATATAGATTCGAAAAAGTGTTTTACAATTTGACATGTATTAGACTGTACAATATTAATTTTTAAATAAAAAAAAAAACTCCTTAATGTTGAGATGAATCTATCATTTAATAGTTAATATTTTATAGTTTAATATAGTCTAAATTACAAAATATTAGACTCAAGAATTTATGCAATAAATCTCAATACCCCAGCCCAGATAGAAATGATTAAAGAAAGCAAGAAATGCAGAACCCAATACAGATCAGATGTTCAGAGATAGAATAGAAAATTTGGAAACTACTCATTGGGGTTTGACAAACATTATAGTCTGTGAAGGCAGTTACACCATCAGCCGACGTATCCTAACTTCAATGACACATCTGAGTACGTACTGAATCAACCCATGAATAAATTATTTTTTGTGTACACATTACATAATTAAGGATTTAATATTCAGGAAATTCAGTATTCCAAGAACCTTCCTCTCCTTTAAATCTCTAGTGTGGAGATGGATGGATCCAAACATCCACATTCAATACCACTGCATTTGCTAGAAAACCCCAATTCAAATGGATTCGAAGAAGTCCAACAAAATCAGAGACATTGTTAGGCTTCAGCAGATCCTTAAGAAGTGGAAGAAGCTAGCAAATGCACCAAAGAATGCCACCAACAATTTCCTCAAAAGAACTCTCTCTTTCTCTGATGTTTCCACTGCATCCACAGAGGTTGTTCCTAAAGGGTTCCTGGCTGTCTGCGTGGGAAAGGAGCTCAAGAGATTTATCATCCCAATGGAGTACTTGGGTCATCAGGTATTTGGGATTCTACTTAAAGAAGCTGAGGAGGAATTCGGGTTCCAACAAGAAGGTGTGTTGAAGATCCCTTGTGAAGTGTCTGTGTTTGAGAAGATCTTGAAGATGGTGGAGAACAAAAGGGATGCTTTCTTCAACTTGCATGAACTTGATAAAGAAATAATTGGACATAATTGTGAGCTAACACCTTCTCATCATCCTCAAATGTGTAGATGATTTTCCTTAATTTTTTCGTTTTTGTATCAACTACTTTTTTCTTTCCTTTTTCTAGTCCAAGGAACGCTTGTGTGCAATATCACAATGCCCACTTAATAAGGTAGAACTATGAGAAAGTAGTTACCACGACTAATATTATTGGTCGTATCTTCCAAACGTGAAATGAAATCTTGTTTTCCCACAAAGATGTTGGATTTGCTCATTTCAAAAATCATCGTTCTTCACTTTCTCTTAAAATGGTGCCTAATTGTGAAAAAAGCCATGTGAAATCAATCTCAAACACAATGTAGACGTTCATTCAAATTAATTGTATGATAAGAAAAAAGAATTCCATTGTACAAACCCATGGAAGGATGAAAGTATATTTCTTAAAGAAGAAGCTTAAGTGGAAGTACCTTTGTGTTTTAGACCTTTTTTTTATTTTTCTTGTTCTTGTACATTACACATCTGGCCAATATATCCTCAAAGTCTTTTTCTTCGCATGCAATTTGCAAACCACCTTCTTGATCATACCCAAATTCCTCCGCCGATTTGTCCATCAAAACCTTGAATTCTGGCACCGATAAATAGCTCATCGGAATCACAAACCTTCGTTGTTCTTGCCCCACGTACACTGCCAAGGACCCTTTCGGTACATGTTCCGGACCTAGATGGCCATGCCAACTGCCATCTGACAGTTCTCCGGTGAGCAACTCTTCCTTTGAAATCTCCTCGTGTTGCTTATGAATCTTCCCGGAAAAGGGAGCATGTGCAAGGTGGTTTTGGGCCCTACACTGCAATTGCCTGAGAATGGCTTTTGTCCGGGAGACGCCAACTCGTTCTGACTCCATCATCTGGCCTGGAGAATTACGTTACAGAGAAGAAAATGAAATTTTGATAACAGAGGAATTGAAGCCTATGGCAGAGAAAGACATTGTGAGCTCTTTCCCCACAATCTCTAACAGAAAGAAATTATTTGTTTTAGGAATGATTCCATGTATACAATAAAAGCAAGCAACAGAAATGTGAATATCCTCAGTAATTAACGGATTGAATGACTATTTTTAGCTGCAGCTATGGTGTTAAATATAGTTAACAGAATATAGTTAATAAACCAAACTTTGAAGTAAAAGGATAATATATTGACAAATACATATACGCAAGTCTTTTCATTATCATACAGACTGACTGACGTGAAGCCATGTTATATACTTTTGGATGAAAGGATGGCAAGCAGGGACAGCAGACAATTCATCCATCTCAAAGAGCCCTTCAGCAGGGGCTGAATATGGAAGAGGAGAGCTGGAGAGTTCCTTCTGGCTTGCTCCCTGTCTTTGTTGGATCATGCTGCGTGTGCTTCTTCATCCCCACCAACTTCTTGAAACTCCCTGTCTATATTATCTTGAATATCGATCTACAAGTGCTTTGGCTTTTTCTGGTGCAAAAAATCGTGCCTGCAAGCAACAAGACTTTATGCTCAGCAATGTAAAGATATTTGAAAACAAACTACTTATTCTCATGTGTCAGCAAGATACTTTGTGAATTATAATCCTAAGGCAGAAGAAATAAGGGCATCCCAAAGCAAACTTAGCTTCCACTAAACTTGCTTATAAGTCACCTTAGAAAGCTAATTCAAATTTCCCTTCAACAACTTCTCATATTCTGGAGAGAACATTTTTCTCAAAAGCAAACTTGCTTTTAAGTTCAACCAAACATGCCCTGAATGGAGACACTAGTGTATAACCAAAATAGATGTGTGCCAAAAATGAGAAATCAAACTTGACAGTGTATACTCACCTGGATAAACATTCTCGCTGCATCTCCAACATTACCATTTTCTTTTAAAATGATGCCCTGTAGAACCACCCAAAAAAAAAAAAAATTTTTTTTGACCATTACCTAATTCAAAAGAAAAAGGATAATTGTCCATTGATGTTAGGGCAAAAAAACACAATCACTTCTGACAGGACCACTCGCAGAGCCAGCATCTATGTTGCACAATGGAAAAACACTTTCCAGAAATAATGAAAAGAAAAATTTAAACTATATTGCAGGTAAATTCAGCTCAGACCTTATTAAGGAGAAGAGGGAGGAAACAAGAGAAAGTGGGAAGTGGAGATGGAAGGAAGAGCCTGATGAGGAGACAAATATATAGTATATACCTTTGCCAAATAACCACGGAAATCATTTGGGTGGCTAGCAATGAGCCCATCATAAACAGCTACAGCATCACTAACATGGCCCCAATCTGAATAGGCTTTCCCAAGCAGCAAATCCACCTGAGAAGACACCTCACTTGTTATAAAAACTTCCATAAAGCACTGACTGATATCTATTATTGTGAGGAAGCAACTTTTCCTAGAAACTACTGCACTATAAATTATACACTAACATTAGCAAACAGACATCCATAAAACATGCGATCATATACTAGACTTATTTAGAAATGGATAGAAACTAAGCCTTTTGCTTTTAATAAAAAATGCTTGAATATCTACCTGGATTTGATAACTTAATCCACCTTTAAATTCTGTCTAGAAGCATCCACTAGGGAAAATGAAGTATTCTGACAACATTTTAACAGCCTAGACCTATGAACTGAAAAGGGGTTTATTAGTGCAGAAGTTTTAGCAAGCTAGACCCTCATAGTCCTATAATAAGCCAGTGAATTGAAAATACTACTTTTTAGTCACCATATTAATGATGCTTGTATCCACTATTGAGAAAGCAACTGACCTGAACAGGATCCAAATTCTCTGATTCTGTTTTCACTGCATTGCTGTCAGGCTTGAGATCAGAAATACTAGATCTTTCCTTATTCAGACGCTCATGTATGGAAAGAAGGTATTGAACGGCCTGCATCAACATTAGAGAGAATGAAACAACATGAAGTTAGAGTCCTATAATATATCATATAAAGAAGGAAAATTTAACTTATTTATCAACCATTTTATAGGCCTGCATCAATTTAAGATCCAACAGAGGGCAATCAAACAATATATCATACAAAGAAGGGTTGACCGTGAAAGCAGGTATTTATCTACAACTGGAATCAAAACTAAAATGTTATAGTCCAGCAATGATAAGAAACAGTCTGGCAAGTCACCCTAAAAAGGTCACCCAGTACCCCAGTACCCAGTCATAAGCCACCTTTTAAACCAGCTGATCGTAAAGAGAACCAGTTAAAGAGGATAAAGTAGGACAATCACATATGACATATCTTGTGTGTCATAATAATGTATTACTCAGGTCCTCAGGATACTGAAGTCTAGAAAATCAGCATGTAGTCCATTACATAAAGATTGGATGATGGATGCAGCATTTACAATCCACTTTCAGTCTACTGATCTCTCACATACCTCCTCTGGCTTCTTAGCAGCAAGGAATGCATTTGTAAGACCACGCAAAACCTCAAAATTGATATCTGTGGACACCTATCAGGTAAAACAAGGGAAAATTATTTACAGCACGTGAGCTGGGGATTTAAGAAATCATCTAGAAAGAGTTACCTAACAAAAAAGACTTCTCCAAAGTTTCCATTTTAATGCCAAATTGCATTTCAGAGTCATTTTTATTACATATTTCCTCCCTATATTACTTAACATGAAGAAGAACCGAAAATATAACTGAGAAATCCAAACAACTTGACTCATGAAGGATCCATCTAGTTTTCCAACTAGTTTTTAGATTGAATCTCGTCAGGGATTGAGCTAAGCCAAAAAAATGTTACCCATAAATGTATCCTATTAAACACCTGAATTAATTTGTAAGCCATTATCACTGTTGCAGGGGTGGTAACCCACAGCACAAATATTACAGAATCAAAATGCCACTGACATCAACATACCACAATGCTAACTGATAATTAATAACCCCACTACATCTCCAGGGAGGACATACCATTGTAGAAATTTTATAGGCAGCAACACTTCCATCATAATCCTTGAGTTCATATTTCACTTCTCCAAGCAAACGGAAAACATCAGGATCACTTGTCTTGATCTACAAAAATAAAAGATCAGTAAAATAAGCTATTTTCTGAATAGTAGTACCATGGCAGAATAAGCCACGTGAAACTCAAATTATAACCAATAGAAGCAACCTTTGCCAAGTCCTGAAGCAGAGAGTTTGCCCGGGAATAGTCTCCTAATTCCACCAAGGTAACTGCTGCTCCCTGCAATACCTCTTGAATGAATTCCAAATTGCTGTCAAAGGGTAGATGGTAAAGAAAAGTACCATTACCATACTTATGAAAGTACATAAGTAGTTACATAGTCATCCACTTGTATCCCTGAATGATTAATAGAATCACAGGTAAATGACAAGACTTCAAAGATATAATTACTCAGTCTATCTAGTCTAGACAGTTTGTTTTGTGGGAAAACATTGGCAGGAATAAACATTCAGAGAAGCAATTTGAATATGGACAGCCTAGGAAGAAAAATAGTAATAGCAGTTCAATAATACAGGTTATCAAAGGGAGTGAAAAGAAGAAAAGGAAATTATAACTTAAGCATATATAAATATATTTAACAAATCATATAGTTATATCTCAATATTTCAAGAACAACAAGGGTGATTCTTATCAATATTGTAGTTAACTCTCAAGTAAATATACCATACAGTTTCAAACATGAATTGTTTGGCAGCTTGGTTCCAGACACGTAGCTAATTACTCCTGATTCTTTCATGGTTTTAGAACATGATATTTCAAAATTAACTTTTGAAATCTAGTTATGGATACAGTAGGCAAAGTATAAGAAAAATAACAATTTAAGAACCAGATCACCTTGAGTAGACATTTTACAGCACACATTATTTCAGGAGAAAGCCAATAACAAACTATTATAAGTCCAGACTCACTTCTAGTGCAGTTGGATCTTTTGGAGAGCTGCTAAGTGTTTCCTCAAATTGCCTCAGCCTAGTCTGCCAAATAATAGAGAGATACAGTGTTAAATCCTTCCCACAATTGTATGAGATACCAAAGAGGAGGCAACAGAAAGAAACCAATGATTGCCAAAACAGAAGCATGCCAGTCAAAAAAAAGAAAAAGAAAAAAAAAAGAAGCACCACCAAAACAAGTCTAGCAAACACTATATCAGTTGCTGTAGAACCAATGCAATATTACAATTATAACTGAGCCCATATCCAAGCAAGCAGTCAGCCTTAAGTCACAAAGGAATAACAATTTGCCATTTTTTGAGTGACCTTAGACCAGAAAATGAGGCTGAACTAAAATTTAATTGATATAGAGAAGTCCCACACTTGAAGCCACAAATCTGGACACCCCTGATGTCCGACAAAGAAACCAAGATTATGACCACATTAAGCCAAAAAGAATATTGGACTGAAAAGGATAAGAGAAATTAGTGGCATACTTAAACAGAAGAAAGGTTGCCAAAATGCAAGGGACTATTTTATGTATGGTGGATCACTTTGTTTATAGGTTCTTGGTTACCATCAGAGGCATAGTCCACACCATCCCAAGGATCAATCATGACAATCTATCCAAAATCAAAAGCTAGTTAAATGCTGTTACATGATTATTACCTGAAGAGCAGATTTCTCTTCTTGTGATAGTCTCTTGTCTACCACTGCAGCTTCCTCAGTTGAATTTATACTGAAAGAAAGAAAAGAAATCATTTTCCAACGAGGCAAACAATCAAAATGAAAAGAAGGCAAACATTCAGAATGAATTTGTTAACTTGAATTGGGGCGAATGTATTCTTTTTCTAATCAAGCCCTAAAACTCAAGTTCTCTGGTTCGATGACTAGGCAAAGAATATTCTCATAGTAACTTTGGTAGACCCAGCCTGTAATACTTATCCCAGCCTAGTGAGTGTGGAACACTTTTTCCCACCAATATGGATGATTTAGAAATATTTTCCCATACTTTCTCCAACTAATTTTTTAAGACAATGATCTACCTAATCATAAGATGAGGAGCAGAGGAGAAAAAGAGGGCTTTGATCACATCTCATAATCGAGGTTGGGAAAGCAAGCATTCAGTATGTCCCAAATGTGGGTGTCTCAACTGGTAAGAGCTTGAGACTCCAAGAGTCCAAGTAGGAAGTCTCAAGTTTGAACCTTGATATAGGTGGAGAGGGATTGGGTAAGGGGGAGAGCTATCTTTTATTGTATAGCCCACTCATCAAATATACCAAAAAAAAGTGTGCCCCAAATGTAGCATTCAATTTTGAAAATATAGAGATTCATTTCAAAGGGGGCAAGCAGGAAAGGTAAAGAGATGATTCTTTTAACCTTCTTCCTTTTTGATTACCTGTTCAAGAGATGCTGTTAATTGAAGTGCTCAGCTAACAAGAACAAACTCTCTTCACAGTTTATTTTTCTATCTCATAATTATGTAGGTTAACTCCTAATCAAGAAGTTTCAGGCAGTGGAGACAATAAGCAAGAAGAAAAGGAAAAGTAAATGGCTGAATAAGTCATCTCAGAGTTTAGGATGATATGGATAAACCTTTGGTGCCCCAAACACACCTTCCAGAGGGAAGAAAGTCTCCAAGAGCAAAAACCAAACCAAAAACAACAACAGCTACTCCTACTCCAATCTGTCAGTTTGAAATTTTGAATTAATAATGCTAATAAAACAGGAAATCTTTTTTACTTGTTTTTTCTTTTTGCTTTAAATGTAAATGATTGCCAAATATAACCGCAAACTCTTATGACCTTAGTTCCAATGCCAATTGTATTCTTCTCTGATTCAACTGGTGCATCATAGTCAATTGGTCCGAATTCTTTGTTTTCCTCTGCTTTTTTCTGCTCCAGTGCTGCCCTGATTAGCATGCAAAAGAATAGTCATCATAATGGAGAACAAGTATGATGCAAGATGCAAGCCTGCACACAGTGGCGGATTCAGGATAGCAATATGATGCATATAATGTTAATAATAGTACTACCATAAAGCATCAATAACTTGTGTTGATGAGGAGTTATTTCTATGAGAAGAATGTAAAACATAATATGCTTGCACCTTTTAATTGCTTGTAGCCGTTCTTCAAAGTCACTGTCCAAGGATTTAGTGTTGGACTTCCCATCAAATTGAACCCTCAAACCAGGTGCCTCTGCAAGGAAAAGTTGTAGTTAGTTTCCAGGTAAAGGAAGCAGAATTAAAACCGGCAAAGAAACTTTCAAGTGTCTGTCTAGAGTACAAGCAGTGAAGAACTGACAAGTAGGAATAAAAGCAGGGAATAGAACAAGGTGAACTTTTTCACCATCCCTACCCGTTACATAAATATCCTGCCTTGGTTTCTAACCCACTATTTATAACCAGTAAATATCCTGAACCTACATTTACCCCATTTATGTTATCTCTGCTGAAAGTTTTCTAGAAAGCTTCAATTCTATACTTCTTCATCATATGGGTGGCTTTCAATGTTTTATTATTACTTATTTCAAAAGTTCAAATGCATATCAGAAACTGTTAATTGCATGCATCTAAATTTCAGTCCTGAGACTCGCATTTATGAGAGCCAGAATCATATGCCTTAGACGTAGTGAAACAGCCCAAAATTTATGCCCTTACTAGTATCTAAACTCCAGCTCCAAACAAAATCACTAATACAAGTTATTAATATGTACGAATCAATGCTGACAGACCAATTAGTCAATTGTACAGTGCAGGCCTTAGTTAGGAGGCAACAAAGCAACCCATATGAAAGAAATTGCCAGTCACCAAGTAGCAGCATGATAGGCATGTCAAGCAAACACAAACACTGTCCAATAAATAAAAGCTTTCTTACTTACGAGTAGGTAAGGGATCAGATCCTTGAGTAGTTGATTTCCTGCACCATGCCACAACAAAATGAAACTTCAACAAAATTCTGTATTGCCACCATGCTAACCACTAGAACAACATTTTAAGTGAAATTAAAAGGAAAGCCAATATCTTCCATCCGGGTACCTTTGTTGGGACAGCGTATCCTTCTCCCTCGATGTGGTGACTTTGTTTGCCTGAGTATTTAAAGTTGAAGCAATGAATGCCTATGAAAGTTGAGTCTTTTAAGAGCAAATTGGTAAAGGGCTGGGGAACCCAGCCGAACCCAGCCGAACCCAGTTATTGAAAAGTTGCAATAGTTAGAAAAATCACTAGTAGCTGACTAGTTAAACAACTTAATGCATAAAAACAAATGGGATCAGAAATTCTCCATTACCATTAACCAAAAAGGGGGGGTTGGGGTGCTTTCTAACTGAATTAACGAATTCTTCCAACTGCAGATTTAATGGAATGTAGTAAAGGAAGAGGAGAGTATTAATACCTTTTGCTTGCCCTTTTGGGCACCAAAACCACGTCTGGGGTTTGAATCAGAGCAGTATACTCGAAAGGAGAGGAGCCGAGAGCTTATCATTGCTGCCGCAATCGACATTTGTTGTTCTTAAGTTTGCAATGTATGTTCAACTTTGTGGGCTTTCTACTGGGGAGGGATAAGGTGAGTTGATTCCGAGTCTTTACGTCCGTATGTGACTCGCATGATCGCATTATATAATTTTTTTATATAATTTTTACGTGTTGTTAAATAAAGAGATGTATTTAATATTATAAAATTTATATAAAAAAATAATTAATTATGTAAATGATATATCAAATTGTTAAAAAAAATATAAAAAAAAATTATCTTAAAATCAATACTAGTATTTTTTTTATCCACACCTGATTTTTGTTTGGGTGAGCATTTAATGTAAAAAATTAACTTTTTAAATGATATGTCAAATTGTTAAAAAAAATAAAATAAAAATTATCTTAAAATCAATTCTAATATTTTTTTTATCCGCACCTGATTTTTGTTTGGGTGAGCATTTAATGTAAAAAATTAACT